GACCTACCGTTCTGCCCAACGCGCGATAAGCCGCCCGGCAAGCGCGAGGATAAACTTTTAGCGACGCTGTACGATAAGAAGCGTTATATCATCCACTACCGCAACCTGCAGCAATGTACTCGTCACGGGCTTCGCGTAACGAAGATCCACCGGGTGCTACAATTCGCTCAATCTCCATGGCTCCGCGATTACATTGAACTTAATACACAGTTTAGAATTTTAGCGAAGAACGATTTTGAAAAAAATTTATATAAATTAATGAACACTGCAGTATTCGGCAAGACCATGGAGAATGTGCGCAACCACGTAGACGTAAAATTAGTAACGAAATGGGACGGACGATACGGTGCAGAGGCAATGATAGCGAAACCGAATTGTCACAGCCGCAGCGTCTTTGCGGAGAATCTAATCGCCGTCGAAATGCGCAAACTCGAGTTGAAGTTCAACAAGCCGATTTACGTGGGTATGTGCATACTCGACATATCGAAAATCTGCTTGTACGAATTTCACCACGAGTACATGTCACCGATGTATCGCGACAAGTGTCAAATTATGTACACCGACACGGACAGTCTCATTTACCATATAGAATGCGACGATGCTTACGAGATTATGAAACGCGACATCGCTAGATTCGACACCAGCGATTATCCGGCGGACAACGCGTACGGTATGGTTCTCGCGAATAAAAAGGTACCCGGGCTGATGAAGGACGAGAACAACGGTGCGATAATGACAGAATTCGTTGGACTCAGAGCGAAGATGTATGCGGTGAGAGTGGACGGCAAGAACGACACTAAAAAGGCAAAAGGTGTAAAGAGTAACGTCGTAGCGCGATAACGTTCGAAGATTATACGCGGTGTTTGAACGAAGAGATCGAAATGACTCGCAGGCAATCGTGTATAAGATCTAAACTGCACGAGATATACACGATATCCGAATCGAAAATCGCTCTGTATCCATACGACGACAAACGGTACGTCGTACCGGACTCGACGAAAACGTTACCATGGGGGCATTGCAGGATACCTTCGTAATATATGTATCATATGTTTTTTT